GGTGTGCTACGCCCAGACAGACCCCGCGATGGAGCTGCAGCCCAACGTCCAGCTCCAGAGCATAGTGCAGAAGTTTTTGGATGCTCCCACTCATCAAGAGGAGGAAGAGTGTGAAGTGCAATGCAAAGAGAAGGGGGAAGGTTTGGGCCAGCAAGACAAGGTGATCCTGTGTGATTTCTGCCTTCAGGAGCCCCAGCCAGCCATGAAGACCTGCCTGAACTGCGAGGCCTCCCTGTGCCAAGCCCACCTGAGCAAGCACAGCACCAAGAGCCCCCTGAAAGATCATGTCCTGGTGGAGCCCTGTGACACTCAGGTTTTGGCTGAGAGAAGATGCCCCCAGCACAGCAAACTGCTGGAGTGCTACTGCAAGACGGACTCGGTCTGCATCTGCATGCTGTGCTGTGTCACCAGCTGCCACAAGCACCACACGATCACCACTTTGGAGGAGGCTTTTCACGACGCGCAGGTAAGAGGCTGCCAGGACAGCGGCCCGGGCACGGATTGCACTAGGAAGACCGCAGGGTCTGTGGCACAAAGAGCTGCGTGCAGCACAGGGATGAAACATCTCCCGGGTTTCAGATTTGCAGACTCAGGATGGGGCTAAATCTCCATCTTGGGATATTGGGCTTTTATTCCTAGTTTCGCCCCAGATTCCCTCTGGGCTTGGCCCGCAGGATATAAAATAAGATGTTATAAACACTTTCTTCCCATTCTGAGGAGCCAAACTGGTGGGACTCAGTGCTTGTGGCTATGCTTTTAGTCCTCGTCGCACTTTCAAGCCAGAAGATCAGCCTGAGCTGCATTTACGCAAAGAAAATTAATGTCAGAGTAACAGAAAGGAAGCTGTCAGCACTGAAAGTAGCTTTATGTGTGGCTATTGTACGTGAACAGTTTTCAGTTTCAAAATGTTTTTCCCGTGCTCATAGTTCTGGTATTTGTTCAGGGATGAAATCTTCCAGTAAACCTTTATTATTGATTTGTCCGGAGAGCATGCAGTGAACAAACTTTTTGCAGGTCTAGTTTAACCAATTTCCATAAAATTGCTGATCTTGTGCACGTATGTTGGTCCTATCCTGATGTCTCCCTCCGGTTGTTTTTATAGAGTGATTTTTCTGAAACTCTGAAAACAGTGAAAAACCACGAAGCTGCGCTGAATCAAAGCATAGCAAACCTGCTGAAACAAGAGGAGGAAGTAAAGGTTTGTTCCAAGGTCCCATATCACTTTGGGGATGGTTGCATGCTGGTAGCTGAGATAAGGTTTTCTTTTGCCCTTCCCCAGATCATGGATTCTGAAGCTTTTTTTACTTCCTGGATGGTTTCTCAGATATTTTTTAGTTTTCTTCTTTGAGGGAGGATGATAAGCAACTTTTCTTACCACTGTGGGAAGTCCATTCTTAGTTTCCAAGGTCCTTTGAGCTTGAAAGTTGCTGTTAAGTCCATGCCTCCTGATTGGTGGGTGGTGGTTGGCTTTTTTTCTTCTCAAGCTTATTCAATTTGCAGACTCTAAAATATTTCTGGAAAAGATACAGACGATGTTATAGTGATTTTATTCCTCTTTACAACAAGAAATCCCTTTAGGTTAGCCTGTGGTTCTAAGAAGTTGGTAGGAATGAGGTTAAAAGATTGCTCCAAAGTCTCTGTTTTTTGCTCCCAGCATGCAAATACCTATCTAAAAGCTCTGAAAGAGCAGGGAATTTAATGCAGGTCTCCAAATCCTAGTTCATTCTGCTTAGGCAGAATTGGCACTTGCCTTCCTCCACCAGTAAAAGTGATGGGACTGGAAGTCCTGGCACTGGGCAAAGGAAATGTTCCCTTCTAGTCTGAAGACAAAACTGTACCTGTTGGCAGTGTCCTGTCTGGCAGCATAGCTGCTTTCGAACAGTGAAAGAAGCTTGGTGGAGGCAGGAAGCAAAGGAACTTTTTTTCCTCACCCATCCTTAAAAGGACCAAAGGCAATGTATCTGTAGAAAAATACCAGTGCAAAATAAGGAAATATACGCACAGTGGAAAGTCTTCAGCAAGCATCATGCAATAAGCACTACTTTTTCATCTTTTTCTGGTCAGGTGCCAGATGCTGGGGAAGGCCACTTATGTTACTTGGCCTTTCTGCTGTCAGTGGGACATCTTGGTTTGTTGTCATATGGAGAGGCACTAGGTTAGTAGTTACTTCTATCAGCCCAGAAAAGATCACGCTCATTTCTGAGTGAGAGTTAGTGTGGAAAATGTAAGATTCAGTCCTTAACAGCTTTGAAAGTGTTTTCTTAATAGACTAAAGAGAGCCTGTGGAGGAATCGGCTGGAGAGCCTCTTCGAAGAGATGCGTCTGCAGCTAGATAACAAAAAAGAAAAGGTCCTGAAAGCTCTCAGTCACAACAAGGAGCAACAGCTTTCTCAGATTCAGATGCAGATACAGAAACACGAAGAGGAGAAGCATGCAGCCAGCCATGATGTACAGGAGCTGGAGGCTCTGAGAGATCAGAAAGACATACTTCTTTTCATCAAGGTGCCTAACAGCATCTCCCTTCCCAGAGGTACTCAGCTCTTGGGCTGGCCTTTGCCTGCACTATGCTAATTCTATTTTCAAAATGTCTTTTACAGGCTTTTGCAGCGATTCAAGCCAGGTAAGCTCTTCCCAAGGTGGTCTACTATTGCATTACATATTGCTTCAGGTGACTAATGGTCCAGCGGTGTGGGTCTGCTAGCCCAGTGTGCGTGGACCGCAGACCCACAGCTCCCTGGGCTCACCCTGGCTGCCCCTTGGGCAGGCTGACGGCACACTCTGAGCCTGGCTTCATCAGAGACCTGGAGAAACCCCAGAATATTAACAGAGGTCATCTGTGACTCTTCATATACAACATGGCTTATTTTTCTGTACCCTCCGCACCTGTTCTCGAGACCCATTCTGAGGGCAATTCCTGAATATTTAGGTCCCTGGGTGGGCATGCAAAGGACAGATAAGGTTAGATATCCTGAGTCGTCCTCCAGTTTGCTTTGCCTTCTGCTTCTAAGAAGCAAATGCGGCAGGAGCCGAAACATGCAGTGAAGTCACGAGTCTACAAAGTTCATGGCTTTTCTCCTGAGTCATTCTCCCAGTGCCCTGTTCCTCTACCACAGCCCACCACTGCATGCACACAGGCTCCTCTAGCCCAGCCTTTCCCCAGCCCTGCATTTCAGGTGCAGCAGTTGCCCCTTGGCTGTGATAACGTGGCACTTCTTGTTTGCTGCCCAGCATCCCCCCAGCTGCCCCTGACACCTCGTTAGCTCCTCTTGCGGGGACTTGAGGACTGTAACCGCAAACATGATGCTGGGGTCTGTCCTGGCAAAAGGTGGGGCTGAGGTGACTGAGACAAGGTCCTCTGGGGACAGATACTGTCCATGGAGTGAACTTCATCCTAATGATGTTGAAGAGATTTGGGGTTCTGGGAAAAGACCGGTCAGAGGGGGAGTCCCTGGTAAAGCTGCAGAGGGAGGGGAGGACAGAAGCTGCTTTCTGTATGTCCCATCGAGGCTGGGTGTGGAGTGGGGGATGCAGTTGTTGGCTCGGGGATGGGCTTGGTGATGGTTTTCTGATGACTTGCTGCTCTTCTGATGTCTTTCTGCATGTTTTAGGAAACGCAAGCCAGTTCGTAACCAAGTTGGTGTAGAACTGCCAACGCCACCCATTATTTTGGATGAATTAGCAACAGACGCTACTGTAAGGCTTTTCCAGGAATTCCTCTCAGACATGCCGTCCTTATTTAAAGCAGCACCTGGTAAGTGGCTGTCGTGGTTTAACCTGGCAGGCAGCCAAATACCTCACAGCCGCTCACTCACTCCCCCCCCACAGTGGGACGGGGAGAGAATCGGAAGGGTAAGAGTGAGAAAAACTCATGGGTTGAGATAAAGACAGTTTAATAAAACAGAAAAGGGAGAATAATAATAATAATGATAAAATATACAAAATAAGTGATGCACAATGCAATTGCTCACCACCCGCGCTGACCGATAACCAAGTAGCGATCGCTACTTCCTAGATCACGCCTACCATTCATATACTGAGCATGACATCACATGGTATGGAATACCCCATTGGCCAGCTGAGCTGGCTGTCCTGATTATGTTCCCTCCCATCTTGTGTACCTAGCTCAGTCAGTAGGCATGGGAGCTGTCCTTGGACTAGGAGGGTACTTAGCAACAACTGAAAACATCAGTGTGTTATCAACATTCTCCTCATACTAAATCCAAAACACAGCACTAGGAAGAAATTTAACCTTATCCCAGCTGAAACCAGGACAGTGGCCATTTCACTACGTGACAAGCAAGACGGAGAAGCTAACAAAACAAAACATATTTAAGGAAGGACTGTAATAAGACACCAAGTACCCAAGTACCTCTAGAAGAACTGATTACTAACGTTGATTTGATTATTTTCACATATGTGTACATAAAAGGGTGCTTGTCCTGGGCTTCAGCGCTTTGGACGTACCTTGAATACACCCTGTTTACCTCTGGGATGGTAGGAGTTTTCTGGGAGGATTAAGAGAAGAGAATAGCAACACCTCTTCTGTCTGTAGCATCGCTTTCAAAAGTGATTCAAAGCAGATGGAAAGTTGAGAACTCATCACAGCAGCAACAGGTGGAGTTTGTCTTACGACGTAAATAATCTACTCTTTCTATGTAAATAATTCTATTCTTTTGTAATGTTTTGTAAGATCAATCTACAGTCCCCGTGCTGTGCACGGTGGGATGCTTGTCCAACTGAATTGAAAAAATTAGGGCTCCCTTGTTATTGCTGTCTTGATGGTGCTTGAGCCCTTGCTGACAGTGAGCCTAGAGTCAAGACCGAGAGACAGCTGGGGTGGGAAGGCTCTGTCCAGAGCGTGTGTGACAGTGTGCGACGTGCACACCTAATTGGCCACCATCCATACAGCTTTGGGTACACTAAGAAGCACACCATTCTCATGGCCATTCCTGAGCTCAGTCTTTACCATCCCTGTAAGCATAGTCCAGACCTATTCTGGCTAAAAAGCCTCAGATCCAGGTTTTCGTAATTATCTATGCCATCTGAGCAATTTTGATTAGCTGTGGAAGTCACTGCCACTGTTTCAGTTTCCTGAAGGAATAAGTTCCAGAGCAGAAAATGCCACAATATTGAAATGCATTACCTGCAAGAGAAGGTTTGAATAAAAACATTCTGCAAATTCCTGAGTGTAGAATTAACTTCTTGTGACTGGTCATGCTAGATGAAGTTTTGAGAGTTCTAGAAAATGCCTTCAAATGATTCTAACAAGTAAGCTTTTATAAAATGGCTGTGCTACTTCACACATTTCTTGTACATGGAAGTTAATCCGGAGAGTTTTTAAAAATGCCTAATGAAGCTCTGCAGGACAATGACGGAAAACTAAAATTTAGAAGTTTCTGTAGTTGGAAACAAAAAGCAAAAAGACACTTTAAAATTGTGAGAGAGCAGCATTTCTTGAAATGTGATATCAACTCCCTTTAGAATTACATAGGAGCAGCTATGAGAGGTGCAGAAGGTGTTTCAGTTAACATATGCTTTTAATGACTTGGGTGGGTTGGACTTGAATTGGATGACTTGGATAGGATGACTTGGATTGACTTGGACGACTTGGTTTGGGAAATCCAGCTTTCCGCAATGGGGATGTATGCAAATCTGCACAATTATCTGTTAATCATAATGTGGTTTTTTTGTTGTTTCTATAGTTCATGAACATCTGACTTCTTCAGCATGTCAACAAGATGGATTTGTTTTCAGTCATGACATAGTCTCTGCATCCTCACTCAGTTCGTTCTATTTTGGGGTACCAAATAATCCCAGTGCCATCCCATACGTGCAGAGCGACCAGAGCTTCTTCGAGGGCTGTCACTTCTGGGAGGTGGACACCAGCAAGGTTGAGGGGCTGGAAGCTCAGAATCATTCATTCTAGTTCCCAGTGCTACCTGGAAATGTCTCATGATTACCTCTCTGTGTTTCTAGGTCAAAGACTGATCAGAGAAAAGCACTTTTCTACAGACCTCAAAGTGGTCAGGGTAGAGCTAGACTGTGAAAGAAATACAGTCATTTTATACCGCATCTGTCAACAATGGAGATCCTGCTGACAGCCTCAGGCCTATAGAGACAGTAAGCATCCCGCCAAACTACCCTGCCCGTGCTACCTTCGGCGTGTCTGGTGGCTCTTTGAAGCTCCTGTAGGGATATGGGGACAAGATGCTGTTTTGTATTTCCAGGCCTAGGTATCGGGTCTGCTGCTGCGCGGAGGCTGTGCTAAGCTGGCATATTAGAAATTGGATTTTGGGCTGCTGTGACGGCTCATCTGTGTGAGGGCAAGGCCTCTGTGGGGTATATCACAGCACACTGCCGCTTACTGCAAGAGCTCCTATCTTACTTGTTCTGTTAATCACGATGGAAATACCGCTAAGTTGCACTTTTTTGCTCGGCTGTATCAAATGCTGTGCTGGCTACATGTTGTTAAAGTAATTTAGTTTGCAAAACTCAATGGCAATTTAGTTTATAAAAAAGGTGACAGCACAACATTAACTGCTATAGAATGTTAAGCAATGCTGACATTTGCTCTAATGCATCACCTTTTACCTCTGCCCTCCTCTGCCTGTCCTGCACAACCTAAACCATCTGTTGCAGAATAAAAGCTGGCCTGGGAGGCAAGTAGAGACTAGGTGGTAAGACACCTGGTTTCCCTTGCTCTCTGCTGCTGTCCTCCCCCATGAGCTCTCTGATAGATCACTTACGTACTTTTTGCCTCAATTTTCTCCTTACCTATGCAAAAATTTCACAGCAAAGAAAGTAATAAAGAGGAAGACTCCTGTGCCTTTAGTCTGTGACATATAGGGCCTGGGTTCGTTCGTTCTTATGATTGTCCAAACATCTTGGAGAGGAAGAGATGATATTCCTGCCTGCTGCCTGTGGTTCTGCTGCCTTCAGACAGAGCCACGGTATTTGCATGAAGAGGTCCAGGCAGTGGCTGCTGCTCTGCCTGGTCTCAGGTGGTACAGGCACAAAGCGAGGTAAGCGAAGTTCGTGACACGGAACAGGGATATTCCTATCCGAGAGTGCCTTTCCGGGAGCCTTTACCAGCCCTCTGTCAGCTGGCTGCAGGTAGGAGACCAGCCTCAACAAGGCCCAGTAAAACTTTCCCCTGGGTTCTCCCTATTTTACCTTTAGGGGACCACCTGTAACTTGTGGAGAAGAACCAGACAAAGCAAAGGGAATTCCTGGCTTACCCCAGCCAGGCTCATACTCTTCTCATTCTCTCTAATTCGCTGATCCGGCATGGGATGCAGGATTTTTCTGGGAGAGCAGAGGGCTGTAGGAGAATTGTCCACCTCGTGCCGTGCCTGTGAGTGCCTCCCCAGCACCCCTGGCTCCCGCCAGCCTGCTGGGGGCCACGCAGGGAGCGATGCTGCCTGAGACCACGCAGCCACTGAGGCCAAACGTCTAAAATCGGCTGCCGGGGTTTACAGGAGTTGTTTGCGGGTGAAACCCGAGATGGGGAGCGTATCTCTGCGGGCCTGTCACATGGTGGAGAGGAAGGACTTGCAGCCTCTGGGCTGGGTCTCTAACCGGGGCACAATGCCAAGGACATCCTTTTAGTTTCGTTTTTCACAGACTGCCTAACTCGCCATTTCTGCGGCCATGGCAAAAGCTAGGGAAGAATTTGGAGGGGGTGCCAGCCTGGAGGATGAACTCAGCTGTCCCATCTGCCTGTATCTGTACAGGAACCCCGTGTCGCTGAGCTGTGGTCACAGCTTCTGCAAGCAGTGCATCCAGAAGGCGCTTGGTGCCCAGCAGCAATCCAAGGCCCTTTACTCCTGCCCCATGTGCAAGCTCCAGCTGGGGCCCATCCTGGAGCTACAGAAGAACTTCCAGCTGTGCAGCATCGTGGAGGCATTTCTGGCCACCACTTCCAAAGGAGAACAGAGCAAGGGCTCTGCAGAGGGGAAGGAGGAGGTGGTTCCCTGTGACTTCTGCCTGGATTCGTCCCAGCCAGCGGTGAAAACCTGCCTGATCTGCGATGCCTCTTTGTGCCAGGCCCACCTGAAAAAACACAATGCCAAGGCTTCTCAGCAGGACCACATCCTGGTGGAGGTGGGCGCAGACGCTGCGGTGGAGGAGAGGAGGTGCCGGGAGCACGGCAGGCTGCTGGAGTGCTACTGCCAGGACGAGGGGCAGTACATCTGCGTGCTCTGCTCTATCGCGGGGTGCCACAAGGGCCACAGCATCGTCACCCTGAAGGAGGCACATGACAAACAGCTGGTAAGGGGCTCTCCTCTCCCCACGGCCCCTGCAGGGTTTGCTCCAGGCTCCTGGCCTGGGGGAAGCTGCGGGAGGGGCAGCAGGGCTTTCACCAGAGGGT